CACACACACACACACACACACACACAAACACCTACCCAAGTGCTGACCACATGTAAAGTGTTGCTGAAAAAGTTATTTAATAAATAGTCTAACTTCTTAGTGATGCAGTTACAGTTAATTATTTTATACTTGGTGTGATGCATTATAAAATCAACATTACCACAGGTGTTCACAGAAGGAAACCAAGAGAAGATTGTCATTATCAAAAAGAAACTTCTTGGAACTCTAGTGAGTCAATAAGAATGGCTTATTAATTGAGAATCAAGTCTATTAAACTCTACCATAAGGCTAAACAATGCTCTAACCTCAAAAATGATTTTCAAAGTCATCATTCATATGGTTGCCTGAGATAAGATTTAACTCACAGTGAAGGAGAGTGGAAAAAAGTAAAATGAGAGGCTCAATTAATCATTTACCAGGAGAAGAAAAGGCAATGACAGAGCATTTAATAACATTTCATCCCGAGCCTATCTCTTAAACATATAAACCTAAGAACTTTCTGGATGACCACTGAACTCAGGTTGCAAATTTGGTGACCTTTGAAGTTTGGTTGCCAAAAAGTCTTTGCTACTTGCCACAGCTACCAAACCAGTTGCAGCTTGGAGTACTGCTAACAATTCAGGTAAGGACATGTATAACGACTGGAAGGCCACACAGATTGACAACTGGATGTGCCTTTGAGGTTTTCCTCAGATTGCTGAAATTAAACCTCTCAACAACTACAAATGGCAGTTAGTCTATAGCCCAAAGCAACAATATCAAATTCGTTTTGATTGTCATTATTTTTGTGTTTTAGAACAATATAGCTGAGGTTCCACATCTAAGGCACTTACTCATCACAGATGAATTTATGAGTCTCTTAGGGTAAGTGTATTTTTCTGTTTTTTTTTTTTGTTTTTGTTTTGTCTTTCAAGTAATGTTCATCAAAAGCAAGTTAGAAAACTTAATTTTAATTTTTAAAAAAATTATGTTGGTTCTGAATCTAAGTGTGATTGAGTGATTTTTTCAAAGCTTTGCAACAAGCTGAAATTCAAGTGAGAGTACCAGGCACATGAATTATGTTAACATTTCAAGTCAAAAAAATTTCAACTTGTGGAAAAGTATTAGTCAAGAACATTAAGTTAGATATTTTTAAGGAAACCAAGTAAAGGAAATGTTAATAACCCAGCAGATAAGTATGAGCGATTAAAAAAAAAAAAAACCAGTGACACCTTTGACACCTATTTTTTTAGCTTTAAATTATAAAAATAGAAGTATGCAGAGGGTGTCTGGTAAGATTTGTGGGTGATTCTGATGCGTCTGTTATTTTACGAGGTGATAAAAGTCGGAAATTGTATCGAACTTAGGCTCCCCATCTCTTTGGCCGCGTTAAAGAGTACTGGTACCCGTGACATAATGGTAGCAACACCAAGTTTATCAAATAAGTAAAGTGAGTGTGGAAGCTACTGTTTACAATCTTTTTAGCCAAAAAATTCCATTTCGATGTGTAGTTTGGGGTATTTCAAATACCCTTGACTCGATGAAGAATATTTATCTCCACTAGATTCCTACTGTAACATCATGGTGCCCAGTCCCTCTTTGCTCAGCCAGACATTTGATCTGCGGATTATAGAGCTTGATAAAAAATTCAGAAAAGGGCAAAATACCACAAATCTTGCATAAACATGTTTAAGAGTCATTATATTTTGATGTAGAATAGAAAAAAAAAAAAAAAGTAAGTGTCATAGGCACTTTTAGCCAGTAAAATGAAGCTTTTAAATTCTTGTTTTGTGTAGGTCTCTCCTGGAGGATGGGCTTATACAGTTGTCCTATTTCTGTGCTGGAGTTCTGTCCAATGTAATGGTGGAGTGGTCTGATGATAAAGAGCTACAGTTGCACAGCAAACAGTATATGCTTCACAGACTGGTAAGTAAGGGTAGTCCTTAAAATGCACCTAAACCCAAAATTTTTTTTTAGCTTAACAAAATAACCTTTAAGTTCTTTTTTGGAGTATTTCTGTGCAAAAATTTTTTAATCTGCTCAAATCTGTAATTTTCTGTGCCCAGTCAAAATACGGATCTTGCCCCACGACCGAGTTTAAAGAGGAATGGCTCTAGCGGGTAATGTGACGTCAAATCGAGAACACGAAAGTCTGCATTTCACACATTTTCGCTTGTTTGGGAAGGTTGTTGTCGATATTTTCCGAAATATGCCGACTAGGTGTGTTGTATGAGGAATGTATGAAGTGCGATACCCTCTTGCAAATTTCGCACATTGCTACATCCTTCTACAACACACTTAGCGGCATATTAAATTGAAGATTTGAGCAAATAAAAAAATGTTTGCACAGAAATACTCCAAAAAATATGCTTATTTCGTTAAGCGAAAAAATTTTTTGGGTTTAGGTGCACTTTGAATTATTTACACTCAAATCTCTCAGTGATCTCCCTGGTTTAAAAGTTTGCCCCCTGCCCTTCATCCTTCCTTAATGTGACAATGACAACATTAATGTAAATATGTAACTGTTACACCTTTGCATTTACACCTATCACACAGCATGCACAACCATGTGATTTGCATGAAGCAAGAGGACCAAACTTTCAGGGTTGTATCCAGCTAAGAAAATGGCCTGCCAGTTTAGGAAGCTATTCTGTCGGCTGTGTCCAGTTGTTTGCAAACATCTTGTCTGCAGGGCTACCAAGCTTTTATACAAATGGTGATTCAAAACAGAGAGGAGACACGATAGACCAGTTCAGACCAGTGAATTCAGACCAATACTTCATTTCACCTTTAATAACTCTGAGATGTATAGTTCAGTATTTATTTTTCCCTTTTTGTTTTCCAAATGGCAAGACATATGTCTTTTTTCACTTAAACTGTATAAAAAAAAACAAAAAACAATTAGACTCGTCTGTCAGTCTATTACCAGCCAAAATTCAGGCAGTGATTGCCCCTTTCTCAGCTGGTGAATCTTGCCAGCTGCTGCCACATAGCAACAACCCTGGCCTTTGTTTGAATTATAGGAAATGTTGAAACTAAAAAAAGTTTACTTTTACACATGGAACTGAGACAAAAACAATGCTCTCTTTAATCAGGAACAAGCTGTTAAAAGTTGGGAATCACCTGCAGAGCAGCTTGTTGCATATAGGCAAGTATGAATATGTGTCTACAGGGTTATCTTTACCAAGTACTTGTTTTTTGTGGCTATTGGTGGGTTTATTTGGCACAAAATTTATACTTTTATAAAAAAAGAAAATTAAATACTGGAAACAAAAAAAGTACTCCAACTAGAATTAATTGCATCAGTTATTGCCTACAACCAAAGCCAACAAGGACTACAAATAATTTAGATGGAAGTCATTGCTTTTTCCCCAGCAGTTTGAATGGTAAGTTTTTTGTACGAGAGCTAATTAATACAAGTGACACTGCAATTTGTAGGGTGACTGCAGGTATTTCAAACTTAATGTTTCAATAACTCAGTTAACCTCACAAGCAAAATTCAAATGAGTAGACCTTATCTTGACCATTGATCCTTATAGTCTTCTCTGGGGTACAGGTTCAAACTCCATTGAAATTTGTGTTAAGTAAAGATTAAAATTGGAACTTTTTTCCTATTTTCTGTTAGGTCGTTTAAACCTTTTGTCCCACTCCTCCAGTGCTGTATGCCTGCTGTACAGATGTGGGCTTTGTGGGGAATCCAACATGTCTGTACCAGAAATGGTAAGCACCTCTTGATTTAAAATGTCTGAACAACCCTTGGAAAATTAGCAACTCAGGCCAGATGATGCACATGATTGATGTGAGATTGAGCCAAGGTGGCAGTTTCTCCTTGGCTTCAAAATTTTACAACTGCTATTACAGTAGATAATTTTAGTTCCCCTATACTTGCAACATCTCTTGAGGTTACCCTGCTTGGCCAGTGTGGGAGGGGGGAAAATTAATGTGTTCTCATCTAGACCATTGTGACAAACTTCTACCTCCTACCCCCTTTGTATGCTAGCCAGGCAAGCTACCTTAATTAAAGCTTGCTCAAGACTGGAAAGTTTAAAGCATCTTGTAACACCTAGCAAGCAAATTTAACCATTATGACCCTAAAATTCTCACCTGATGTGCACTCAAGGTTTAGAAACTGGTCTTGTTATGTTCATTAACTTTAAACAACAACAAACATATGAAACATATGAGTGAACTGCGGTTATGAGACGTATATAAGAACGATCCTTCGCAGTAAAGCACTATTTGAGCAATAGTGCTTTACTGCGAAGGATCGTTCTTATATACGTTTCATTAACTTTGTTAATTTGGGATACACACTTGCCTACCTTTCCCATATTAACATGAAAGAGATTACGCACTTTTTCCTGTAATTATTTTCTCCCCAAATCATCACCCCTGTGAATCACACAGTAAGGTCATAGGAATATAGGAAATGATCATTATTAAAAGAAGCTCTTGATTTTCAATCAAATCCTCCCTGTCATTGCCTTAGGAAATGCATTGTGCAAAAGCCACACTTGAAAACTTTTCGATAAATTTTTCAAGATTCACAAGCTGTAATGTACACGTTGCCCCATTTTGAAGATTACTTACTTGTGGTAATGTGATGATCAGGCACTGAATCATCAGACAAGTGACTTATCACAATTTTAATTGTTTTTTTTGTAGGGCGACGTTATTCCCCTCTTCTTTTTGACTGTGGAATCCTGGATATTGTTCAGAGGGTTTTAAACACATCACAGAGTGGAGTCAAAGAGCTGGCAGAGAAGCTCTTAAATACAGTGGCCAATTTGGAGTCACATCAAAAATAGATTAACTTTATATAACTGTAAGACAGTGACAGTCGTAATGACTAAGATAAAGTTTATATTTATAGCTTAAAAGCAGTTTTATCAGAGATGTTCTCTTGAAATACCTTCAGCAGGTCTTTTGTGAAATTTTACAAGCTAGGTTTGTGACAGTGGAATAAATTTTTTTAAATTAATCTTCAGCATTTTAGGGCTCTGCCCTTGGTCTCATTTTTGTTATTATCACTTTTTTGCTATTTTCAAAACAAAGGAAACAGTATGGAGAATATGCACACTGATGTTGCTGTGTTAAGGATTTAGAGGGCTTCTGTGTGTGCCACTGTGGTTTACAAGAATAAGGGAAATGATCACCAAGTAAAAAGAGCTCTTGATTGATGAAAAAATTCTCCTTGTCAGCACCATAGGGAATGTATGGGGAATAGTATGGAGAATATGCATTTCAAACTGTGTGAGTGTTGTTGGTGGTAGTGACTGATGTTTCCACAACCTGTGCAGAAGTCATGATCAGAGTCAAGTGAATAGTTGTTGTCAGTAGAATGTTCTTACAATGTTACCCCCGGGTTCAAGCCATTTACTGCGATATGCATACTGCATGATAATCGAGTGTAAAGGCCAAGGGGTCCAGAATCTTTGAATAATGATGTTTTTAAGGCATATGGAGTATCTTAAGTGTTTCATTGTTTTAAAACACAGATCTCTAGATTCTAGTTGGCATGGAAACTGTGCTCACTATCAAACTCTTCAGTTTGGAAGAGAAAAACCCAGTAAGCATCTCTTTATTACATGACTGGTACTAAATATCATTTGGTAAGAAATTATTCTTCTGAATCAATGGCCTATTTTTTTTTTAAGATTAAGAAGTACTTCTGTCTGTATCTTGTTTGTCAAATTAACTTGGGTAGCTTTTTCAGCCTGGTGATGTCTAGAATATTTGAAGTATTTTCCTCTTTGGAGGTGGGCTCTGGAGTAGGAGGTGGTGCCTTACACCCTTGGAATGTTTCAGAATTCAAGAGGCCAGAATCACTACTGGAAATTCCTTTTGTTTTCCTGGCCTTAGTTAGCCCATCGGGATGTTTAGGAGCTAAGCAGTACTTTCCCAAGTACTGCTGGGTAGCCATGGATAAGTTATTCCAAGTATAGTCCATGGGAGATCGAGAAATATCATTGTCAAAAGTAACAGCTCTTTGGCGGCTGTGGCTTTTGCCATGACTGTTGATTTTTTGAAGCTCCTGTTGTTGATCATCAGTTAGGTATTTGAAGTCTGCTTCACTGAAAACTTCATCAAGTGTGTCATCAACAGATAGTGACAAGTAGTTAATGCGAGGATGATCTGGTATAATGCTCAGTGATGCTGATCTGTGGAATGGCCATTGTTTGGGGAAAGTGCTGACATGGTTCCTGAATATTAAAAAAGAAAGTTGACCATCATTGTTTGACTATGTTGTCTTGAGGGCTTGACAAACCAACATGGCAATGTGAAGTAAACTGAGATGGACTTGTGTATTCCATCCAGGAGGAAATACAGTTACTGTAGTGGTAGTGACTTTGTGGGGCTGAAACTGTGCTAAGCTACTTTGCAGGTTATTCTAGAAAATAATTACAATAACAGTAAAAACAGTTTACATGTCACATATTACACTACAACACATCAAGAGAAGATCCTTACTCTGTAGGTCCATCTTTAGTTCCAGGAGGTGAGGCCTTCAACTTTTCCAACTCACCCACTGTTGCCATAACAACTTCTTCTCGTGTGGCATAATAAGGTGTGGCAGGTTCTTTGAGATCAGATTTCTGAGAAGAGTCTTCTGGGGTGTGGTCTTCTTGACCTTGATGATCAAGAATGTTCTTGACTTGGTCCTAAATGAAGTCNAGTTCATCTCTACCAGTTCCTCTCTACCAGTTCATCTCTACCAGTTCCTCTCTACCAGTTCATCTCTACCAGTTCCTCTCTACCAGTTCATCTCTACCAGTTCCTCTCTACCAGTTCATCTCTACCAGTTCCTCTCTACCAGTTCCTCTCTGCCAGTTCCTCTCTACCAGTTCATCTCTACCAGTTCCTCTCTACCAGTTCATCTCTACCAGTTCCTCTCTACCAGTTCCTCCCTACCAGTTCATCTCTACCAGTTCCTCTGCACCAGTTCCTCTCCACCAGTTCCTCTCTACCAGTTTATCTCTACCAGTTCATCTCTACCAGTTCACCCCTACCAGTTCCTCTCTACCAGTTCCTCTCTGCCAGTTCCTCTCTACCAGTTCCTCTCTACCAGTTCATCTCTACCAGTTCATCTCTACCAGTTCCTCTCTACCAGTTCCTCTCTACCAGTTCCTCTCCACCAGTTCATCCCTACCAGTTCATCTCTACCAGTTCATCTCCACCAGTTCCTCTCTACCAGTTCATCTCTACCAGTTCCTCTCTACCAGTTCCTCTCTACCAGTTTATCTCTACCAATTCATCTCTACCAGTTCATCTCTACCAGTTCAACTCTACCAGTTCATCTCCCTAACATAGCCTCAGACACGCTTTTTGTGTTGGAGATTCTACTGCCAAAAAACATGTGTGAGGTAGTTACTGATTTTTTCTGGTTTTATGCTTACACTCACCTAACATAGGACTTGTGAGACTTGTTTCCATGCCTCCTCCTTCAGTGCAAGCATTAGAACTGGGGCTAGTCACGCCTGAAGGACTATCAACAAAGCTTGGGATGTCCACAGCATGAAGAGAAGAAGCTAATGTTTGACTAGGGTCATCAATCTCTATCACCTGATTTGCTAATTCATCAGGATTGGTAGACCTGTGTAACTGTTTAGAGTTTGGCTGGCCTGCCTGCAAGTTCATCTCACTGACAAATTCACTTGAAGTTGACAAAGCTCTGAAGTTGAAATGCAAATGGATAATTTCAAAAAAAAAAGAATTGAAAGTCAAGGCTAATGCAATTCTTGATGAGATAGGGTAAGGTATCACCAAAGCACAAAGGTAAAAAAAAAAAAAGAAAACCCTCGGTACTTGTTTTGACTTTGCACATCCAATGTAAGATTAAGTAAGAGCTTAGAGAAAGTATGGACTTAAATCTAAAACTAACAAAGAGATTTGAGAAAAAATTCCAGAATGAAGACTGGATCAAACTTATTTCAAACTGCAATACAAAGTTATTCCAGCTCCAAATCATTAAGCACCAAGTGTTACGTTGGGATGGAAAGATTCATTTAGCAAGGTGTTGTAACAGAAAATTTTTGAGAAAATGTAAGTTCCGAAATATAGAAATTTCCACAGGAGAATGTAAAGAGGACTCTGTTCACAAACCTTCTATTCTGATTCAAGTCCTTTTCCTTTATTGGTGATGTAGCAGCTGATCTCTTGCTGTTAAGCTTCACAGGTGTTCCAAGTAGCAGACTTGCACCAGTGTTTGTACATGCTGTAACCATTGAGATGGGAGAGGGGTCAGGTGATCTGTTGTTGCCATAACAACTTTCCAAATGAGGAGATCTGGGAGGAGTGAGTAATGCATTGGGAGCAGGAAGAAGTTGAGCATTTTGTTGCTGCAGTAGAAGCTTGATCTAAGGAATAAAGAAGAGCAAGCAATGTTGTTTAATCTTATTGCAATAACTTCAGCTGCATACATTACCAAAGTTTCCTCAGTTGGCATTTGCCTTGACCCTTCAAGTTTGTGGAAGTGATTAGAATGTTATATGTGCTTCTCACAATTTAATTTAACATAATTTATATAGCTCTAACTCCACTAATTGACCAAAGCGCTATTGACCAATTTGAACATATTATCCAGCAAATGGTTGGAGAGAAAAGATGAACTGGTTAGCAGCAAAAGGGAGAATTAGAATCAGATCTTGAGAATATTACATTGTGTTCTGGTGTTCTTTGACACACCCAGTTTTGGATCACTAGACTTGCTAAGATGGAGACCTGATGGAGATCTGCACAACTAGATACATGAAAGCTTTGTGGTGCAGTTTGTCAGTGTTTTACTGATGTCAAAGAGTAAGCAATCAGGTTTTCAGAGTAAACTACACTACAAGACAATGTAACATTGATTTGGCTTCTGCAAAAATAAAACCTGCTCGATCTTTGCTTTCCCAAGATCTCAATAGCAATTCTCCTCACTGTCTGTCAAGCAATTCTTTTGATGTTTGTCTCAACAGTTTGGTTATGGAACAAGTAATAATCCCCTTGTTGATATTTTCCTTATTCTCATAACTTGTCTGCTTGATATTGTATCAATTTTGTTAGGAGAAATTATGTCTTGGTCATTTAGATGCGCAAGAGGTTCTAGAATAGATGCATAAGAGGTTCTAGAGTTCTGTTTAAATCACGTGAGGTCGCAGAAGACTTCACCCTCGCTGTAGCTGGTTACATCTGCACTCACAATTTTTCGGTCTTTATTATTTTAATAGCTTTTCCTATTTAGTAATGCTTAATTTTTTCTTTTCTCGTATATTGTAATCAGTCCTCTATCATGAACATTAATATTAATTCTTTTAAAAATTTGTAAAGAATTAGATCTATGGTTTAAAATTGCAAATAATTGCTATCATTATTATTAAACAAAGTGGGCCAATTTTTATCATAATTTTTATAACTACTTTTAGTGATTATAGTGAATAAAGGTTATTCACTATAATCTCTAAATTTTTTTGTTATTAAAAAAATTCCAAACCTTTAGTAACAGTTTTGTACCTGTTCTTGAAGTTCTCTTAGCTGAGCTTCTTGTCTCATAAGAAGTTGGTAAGGATCAGGGAGGGGTGACCCTTCTGCTGACATAGAACTCTCCATTCTTTTCTTTGTGGTAACATTTCCTACAACCTGCACATCTTCCTTAAATAATTGTTGATGCTTTTGGATGTCAGGGTTCTCTTCATTAGCTTCTGATGTCTGCCCTCCTTTCTCCTGAGATTGCAGGGGTACAATCTCACTTGACACAGAACCTGAAGTAAAGTCTTTAAAAACTTGTTCTCCGCTGTCTGGAGAATGAAAATTAATACTTCTCTGTTCTTGTACATTTCCCGGCACTGTTCCTTCATATTCATCCACTACAAGACCAGTATTTCCTTCCCTGAGAAATTCATTATTTGCACAGCTTGTACCCTTTTGAGAATGACATGAAAACAAACTAAAATTGCCATGTGTGGGGGAGCTTTCCTCTTTAATTTGAAGTTGTAGTTCCGTTTCACCCATACTTTGATTCAAAGTTCCATCTAGGGTTTCTCCTTCATAAACTGTCTCCAAACAAGGCTTTTGAATTTGGTGTACTGATGTTGGATTGTTACTGTTATCTGCTGGTCTAATAGATGGCAAGTCAAACTTTGTTTCTTTGTTTCCTTCAGCTTTGTGCTTTGGAGAAACCTTACACTGTCCTGTAAAACTGTGCAAGTTTTCCTTGTCTGCACTTTTTGAGCCTTTAGGTTTGGCTACCATGAAATGATTTGTGCTGTCTGTGTGTTTAACTTTCCCTAATTCAATTTTCTGAACAACATCCACTTGCTTAGAGAATACTTGTTTTCCATCTCTTTTAGACTTGTCAGTAGCAGTGTCTGGAAGAGCATGCTGTGGTCTCTGATGTGCATGATGTACTGCACTAGTTACCCTCTGAGTGGAAACTGATTGAACCATGCCTTGGGATAGCTTACTTTTCTGAGGTAATTGTGGATGAATTTGTTTTTGCTTCAGTACCCTTGATTGAGTTTGATTTGGAGCTAATATTGGCCTCAATGGTTCTCTTGATGGTGAATTCTGAGTGTCAGAAGATTTCACTGCTCTGCTGTTCTTTGTAGCTGGGTTTTTCGCTTTTAATAGGCCTGCAGAACTGATTCTATTTGTATGATTATTTTCTTGGTCTTGTTGACTCTGAGATTTTGGATGATGCATATGTTTTGGATTGGGTAGAATTTTCTGATATGCAAAGCCCTGTTCTGGAGTATCAACTGTAGCCTGCTCATCGAAGCTCAGAGACAAAGATGTCTTAGCTACTTCTGGAAGCACAAGCTGTGATCAAAGATTAAAAAGACATTAACTTCAAACCTGTTTCCTTTAAGCTATAATTAATGCAAGTGTTTATTCGACGTTAAATGTTCTACACTCACAATCATGACCCCTCAACAACTGTTTTTTGCCCTTGAGTGACTATCAAGCACGTAGCTTTAATCAAACATCTCACCTGGAAGTTTTGAGGATGAGGAGATGGAGAGGGTCTGGGAACTGGAGTGAATTCCTCTTCCTCAGGCCCTTTCCACATTGGAGGGACAGGTTGGTTTCTGGAAGAAAGATCTTCATCTCCACCAAACCTGGTAATTAAACCACATGTTAGAAATAAAAAATGAAAATGCACTTGTCAAACTGACTCACTATAAATTTACACGTCATCCATTACCAGTCAAGAGTTTACTACAGTGGAACCCTGAATTAACGATCCTTGCTATAACGATATTCCCGGTACAACAATAAATATGCTATGTCCCAGCAAAAAGTTACAGTAAAATGTATGGGACAGAACCTTGTCTCGATATAACGATAACTCGATACAAGGATCTAATTCCACTGCTCCCTTGGGTATATCGTTATATCAGGGTTCCACTGTATAATTATTTAAAAGGCCATTGAACAGTTGTGTACTTCATAGCCAAGCCTTTGATTGGGAGGGATGCGGAAAGTGATCTTGTTATGATAGACACTAGTATCTAGTTGGCATAATAGCAAAGTAATTTACATTTGAAAAGCAGCAATGCTTGTATCATAACAAGGTCACCCTTAGCTTCTCTCCTGTTCAGAGGCTTGGCATCGAAGCACACAACTGAAAAATGGACTATAGACCACTTTCATAAATGGCTGCTGGATGAATATTCTTTTGTTTAAATTTAATTTAGCCCTACTGGCCTCGTTCTCCAGTACAAAATTCAAAAGAATACATTATCTCAAGCGAGGCCAGAAGGGCTAATTTAAAGTTAAGCAAAAGAATATTAATCCGGCAGCCATTTATGAAAGTGGTCTCTTACCCTACGCAGTGTTCAACAAGTGCTGAAGAATAAATCTCACCTGATGGAACAAATCTGAATTGACTGTCAAAAATATGCTGTAATTGCATTGTTTCAACCATTCACAGTTACCTCATTGTTCTTTGTTCTTTCTCCCAGTCATTCACGGCTTGCTCAAAAAGACTTCTTCCCAGTCCCTCAGGGGCTGGAAACAGCTCAAAGCACAATGGCTCAGTAGAACTGGAACCAAGTGGCTGAAAGAAGATACAAGGTGTTTGTTTCACTACCGACTAAAATTAAAAACACACTACAGGGAAAACAAGACTTTAAAAAGCTCCAAACTTTCTTTAACTTTTCTTTTAGATACAGCTGTATGCTTAAGTTTATGAAAATCTGAAACAATCATCCCATTTTGTACTTACTGTTTCCAAGTGTAAGTTTTCCTAGCAACTGTAGAACTCAAACATTTTCTCTTCAGATCTCCCCTGTACATCAGAGCAGAAATGCAAAGAAGATATGTTATCATTTCTGTCTGTCTAAGGCAATATAATTTAATTTTGTGTAAAAAATCATGTTTAGAAAATCATGTGTTCCCTATCAGTTGTTGTCTTTTATGAAATTTGGAGGAATTAGACATGTGTTTTAAAACTTTTCAAAGAATGGAAAAGATATTAAGACATGAAGCGGTTAAGAAATTCAGGAAAACAGAGCAGTTGATGCACTACTAAGATCAAAGCCAGAAATGCAGACTGAAGTTTGACACAATGAGTTGCTCTAAATTTCAGGAGGTCTACATGTATGACTCAAGGGTACTCTTTTACCGGTGTTAAACCTAATTTACCTGATCTTGTCGGCATTCCCAGAACTCTGGTGTACTCTTCACAGGTGAATACAACAGAAGTAGGAAGGAATCTGGAGGGGCAAACACCCTAAGGAACAAGAAACCAGCAGACTAATTACAGGGTCTGTACACTTTTTCAGAAACAAATTTTAGGGACTTTTCCAGGAGTCAGATTTACTTTTCCAGGACTCCAAATTTCATCTTAAACTATTCCATTCCCAAGATTTCAAATAAATCAATTCTCCTTACATTTCACAAACATTTCTTATAATGTAAATTCTGAAAACATTGATTCATTATTGGTTGATTTATAAATAAGCAGATTTCCAGAACTTTCCAGGACCTGAAGTTTTTTCCCAGGACTTTCTAATCCTGGAAATGTCAAATGTCAAAAGCTACTTCCAGGACTTTCCAGGTTTTCCAGGAACCTTACAGACTCAGTAATTACCTTGAAGGTGAGGGCTATTGAATTCTCTTCCTTATATCATAAACTGTTAACTAAAGGTGTTTGCTTACTGATCAGAGATTGGTAAATTCCACAGCTATTAAACATTATTGGTGATATTGTCAGGAAAGATTAGACGACAGTCACTCACAAGGGTTAAAAGGGGCAATGAAATCCCTTCTTACTAAAGACCTACCTTTGCTGAAGAGCTGCTGAGTGGAGAAAACGCAGACAACAGGCCCATATAAAAGGATGATGAATGTTGTAAATTCCACTCACCCAACTGAAACAAGTTATTGAATGGAACTGCTCAATTTATTTTTCCTTTGAAAATTAAAATCAAGTGCTTGCATGAAATCATGTAGAACAGGGATAAAAATTTAAAAAGATTGATCAATACAGCTACACTTATGTACATGTTGTCCTGACAGTGGCTAGATGTGGAGCATGAGATGTTATTTTGTCGAAAATTATTATGTAACTATACATGTCTAGGTTTCAAAAGATGGAAATATTTATCATCTAAAAATCAACATACATTCCAAGAAGTGGTAAAGAAACTGCCTTTGGATCAGATTCAAGCAGCAACAGTAATTTCCTGGTGTGATCCATGGTCAAATATCTGAAAGTAACAAGAAATGTATTACATAACAAAAAGACAGATATGACACACCAATATCAAACAGTAAAAAAGAGGCAGCAATAATTAATATATATCCTCTAATAATATGACTGGATGATGATTATCGACACAATTTTACTGACCCACATTTCGGTACACCTTGAACCTCACTAAGTCTTAGTGGACCTGACAAATTTCTGGCCAGTGCTGTTGGAATGATGGGTACAGCTACTACAGGAGTGGCACATATTTTTGTTCCCATGGCAATGGCACCACCTAAAGTTGAAGAAGAAATTCTAGAAAGGTATCTACTATGAGATGAAAGCAGCCCTGGGCACATATACAGCTATCTTATTTTAGCACAGAAATTTAACAAATACAGTGGAATCCTGATTTCTCAAACCTCCCGATATCTTGATCAACCAAACCTTGTTTCCCTTGGATTTGCTTTACTTGTAATTTCACCCCCAATTTCTCGAACACCTAATTTCTCGAACCAATTTGTGTTTCCCCTGGAGGTTCCAGAAATCGGGATTCCACTGTACTGGAAACTATGTCATTGACAGTAAATGTGCTAACATGTCAACACTGCTGCACCATGAAAAATCTTAAAAGGATTCAGCAAGATTCTTAAAACCTTTCTAAAGTTTCAGTCATAATCTTTACAAAGTTTGATCTTGAAAATGAATCTTTGAGGGTTGGAGGGGACATAAGCTATGAGGTATGAGCTAGAAAATTCCTGGAGAGCAATTCAGAAGAGTATCAAAGATCTCTGTACATCCTTTCCCAGGCAAAACCATCTTCAGATTTTTTTGTATAGGTAAACACATGATTTCGAGTGCAATTGGAATAAATAAGCACGAGTAAATTTTTTCAAAGACTAACAAAATTGCATGAGCCTGTAGGGTGAGTGCAATTTGTGGTCTTTGAAAAAAATTTACCAGTGCTTATTTATTCCAAATTGCATGAGAAAAATCATGTGATTATGTATTAATAATATACATGAAAAAATACGAGGTAGCTTAATAATTATGCAGAAGAAAAGCTTGTGCATCACATGCAAAAATAATTTATTCAAACCCTGCAAGTGACATTGACCTTGACATTGACCAATCATTCTGACCAATCAGAATGTCTGGTTTGTTACTTTCTTTGCACTGAATTAACCCTCTTCTGCACTGAATTAACTCTCTTCTACACTGAATTACCTAAAAACTGCATTTATCTTAACCAATCAGAACTGAGTAATTTTTTTCATGTATATTATTAAGATCTGTAAAGGATCCTTTATAAAACCCTTCACCTCCTAAACATGTACACCTTCTCACAATGTCACTACTTTGTTCATTGAAAATATGACAGCAATAACAGGGCTGTGCTCTAGCAGCGCCTGGTGGCCCCTGGCGCCTCACTTTTTCCCTTGGGCGACTCAGGAATCTTAGTTTTTCATAAAAAGCATATGCTGGGCACTCTGGATTTCACAGTTTCAGAGCACTGGGCTCCCTTCAATTTTTTCTTAGAGCAGCCGTGAATAAAAATACACTTTTCAGCTAGAGTGATATCTCAATATAACATCACCCTCCAATATAACATCACTGATTAACAATAAATTCATAACCGTTAAAAAGGATCAAATTGATATCTTTCAATACTCTCTTAAGGAAACCAGAACAAAATTGACATCATAAATTGAAAAATTCTTAGAAATGATTTGATTTTGCTTAAAAGCTGTCAGTGTTATTCTTATACTTACAGTTGACGTTAATTATGATCTCATCATCATCACCGTGTGACTGACAGCAGACCTTCAAGCTCACAAGGTGTGACAGACTCACAGTTTCTTGGCTGCTGATCCTACCAAACTGGACCTGATTTTTAATAAATACTATGAATATATTGGTTTTTTTCAATCAGCACCTGGCAAAATTTGCTTTTTAACTCAAACAAAACATCCAAAAGGCATCTACTTACTTAGAAATTATTGACACTATTCAAGAGTTCAAATCAATCTTCCAGGTAAAGCAGTGTTCACTATTTAATTACCTAAAAATTGTTAAAATGTGTCATCAAGTCCAATCCAGCGGGCGGGTCATCCTCGGTGTAAAAACCTGACATGGTTTTCTTTGTTTCATGAGGTATTGTTTTGCTGTACGCTATTGTTTATAATGTTTTGTTGTCTTTGTTTTACATCACTTGTGAGCTTCACAGGTATTTACACCAAGGATGAGCCAATCTAGCTTATGCAAAACTTTGAAATACATTAAAAATCACTTCTTGTTTATTTATGCACCTGAAATGTTCTCTGAAATTCTTCAGTTGTGTGTGTTACAGAGTTCTCAGCTCCACTCAAACCTTGGATTAACTTGAAAATAAACAAACCACAAAAATGGAACGTCGTACTTAATTAATAATTAAATGTACATATATATATTTCACTGCACCTTCCCGTGCTATATCCTGCAAAAAAATAATGAGTTAGAGTGCCTTCAACTTTAGTAGGGAAAACTTTTTTGTGCTATGTTGAAAGTTTACTTTTTACACAATCTATGTAGATCAGTCGGAAGGTAGGGGGGTTAAAAAGCCATTTCACAGTTGTGTACTTAGTTGCCAGGCCATCTATTCAAAGTGAGGCTGAAGATGACTTTATTGTGATAGAGACATTATCTAGTTAGCATGATAACAAAGTAATTTACATTTGAAAAGTAGTAACATTAGCCTTACTCCTGTTCAAAGGCTTGGCAACCAAGCATGCAACTTTAAAATGAACCATTTCTTTACAAAAAGAAATAATGTTGCAGGAAACATGGAAGGTTGTTTGCATATTATATGTAACAACTTACAGTGATTGGCACAATGTGGTCTCCAGGAACAACTGTAGTGGGAACTTTCCTTTTGACTTTTCCAGTACCTGAAACCATCAACAAGATGAAAATTAATTTGGTGGCTTGCATTTAAGTTTATTGAGAATAAATTCAACAAGTACATGAAATGTTTTACTTTCAGGGTAAAAACAACTCAAAATAAAAACAATCAAGATAAAGAAAAAAATCAAGTGATAACCGTACCCTGTTTGATCATGACTTCTCTACCTGGATCAAATCTGTCCACAGTAACATCAATGCTGTCCTCTTCTGAAATGTTTTATGGAGTTGTAAAAATTAAATGATTAGTAGTATGAAACATCTACACTAATTCCAGTTTAAACAGTCTATTCATCACTTCATTTAGTTTTTTTTGTTGTTGTTAGATATGAGTTGTAGAGAGGGATTAATCTCAGTATCTACTAGACAATGACTCACCTACCCCTCCCATAATGCAACAACAGACAACTGATAGCAAGTTAGGGTTGATGATGGGTTAATTAAGGGAAGGGTGGGTACACAGAGACATTTTTTATCTTTCACTCTTTACTTACTTGAGTCAACTGAGACGCTTCCGACAAGGAAACATTCACTGGAAGACTTGTTTTGATTGGCATGTCTGCGAGCCAGATGCAGGGTCTTTTCATTGATATACAACCTCACATTCCTAAGAAATAATAATGATAATAATAATAATAATTTAAACATATTCATACAGGATTGCTGCTTCAGTTTAGGAAAGAAAACTGCTATCAATACAGGTCCTGTTAAAAAAAATAAATAGAAATCAGTTTAGAGTAAATTATGAAATAGTTACGATAAACGAAAGTAAATTCGGACAATAACAAATTCTACCAATTATTAAAAATTATTTAAAATCGTTAAAGATTTTTGCACCTTTATAGAAAAAAAAAAGCACGCTTGGCGGATTCTAATTGAACTTTTTCTAAAATAAGACCATTGTTATTTCTAGTATTGTAGCGGTGAATGTCGCGAATTCTTACATTAAAATAATTAAAAAGAGATTAACAAGTGTCAAACAAATATTAAAAATGTGGCACCTCACTGTTACTATAGGTGTAACACAAATGTGTTGTTTGCAAGACTCTGGAGAAACAGGGTTAGGTTCCTGGACCATTGTTTTGTCTCCTTAGAAGGGAGAGATACTACTCACTTGGATAAATAAGAATGAATATCATTTGGAGTGGTGGGTAGTAAAAAAATATTAATAGTAATATGATCCTGACAGTTTTATTTCGGTTGAAGAAATTACAGAAAGTGAAACTTGAAAACTGTGAATTATTATGCTATGTTCTGGCATAAGCAATGAATCACTGGAGGTCACAGATTTTACCAGGCTTTTAATACCCAGTCACATTTTTTACCCAGTTACATTTTTTACCTTTTTGTTGTAAGATGAAGAGTTTCAGTGTCCCCTTGAGCAGTTCTGTTCCTGTAAGGTTCAAAGAAAACTCTTAATGAATGTTGTTTAGTTGATGGATATACAGGTACATTCTAGAACTTGGTGGAAGAGAAGGAATTTGACCATGGAAGCAGTACCAGGCAGAAATAGTTATGAAAGCATAGTGTGATTGTCCAGGTGAGTGTAGTAGTGAGAAGGACTGTTGTCGGTGGTAGTGACTGACATTTCAACAACCAGTGCGGAAGTCATCGTCAGAGTAAAGTGAATAGTTGATGTCAGTAGAATGTTCTTAGTCCAGTTCATGTAAAATGATTGGTCAGTTTTGCTGTGATGTTATTGGTTGTAAGACTCAAGTGGTATAAGTCGGTCATGATCAGTCTGTTTCTATCCTTTGGTAAAGTAAGGTCGTTCTATTCGGTTCGTTTGTAATGCTAATGTCCTGAATGAGCTGTTTGTATGGAGCCGGTAGTAGTTGACACCTGTACTGTTTAGCTGAGTCTGTTGTAAGTTAGTAAACCTGGTTTCCTCTTCTCTGACAGGCCAAATATACCACCTGCTGGGTTTGGTTTTTCACCACTAAATAGGAATGTGGTCTATTCCATACACACATGTACTTACCACAGTATCGACCGAGTTACAGGGAAATTCAGGGGCTGAAGGGCAACACCATTTCTCTGCATTCTGAAAAGCAATATTATTTAGGAAATCTAAAAATCAATAATTCAGTTTCTGGTTACTCAACTATCTTTTCAAATACATACAAAAGAGGAATTTTTCCATTCCATCTCAGTAACAAACCTTAAGTAATTCTGTTCTTCGTTGTATTTATCTCTCTTAGAAGGAAAAAATGATGACAGTTGGTCCACTGTTTGCCTGTCCATACACTTGACATTCCTAAAAAATTAGCCGAAATGAATTATTACTGCAAAATTGAAAAATAAAACTTGCGATCGCGAGGGAGATCGAACTGAACTGTATTTTCTCTCCCAGGTTTATGGAGGGCTACTGTTTTCAGGTCCGATTTAAATACAATGCATCACAATGTAATTCTGGCTAAACAACCATGTTTACAATCGATGTCTCCGCAAAACTTTCATCGACTCAGAGATCTAACCGTAAAATGAGGGTATTAAACGATTTCTTTGAATACTGAATGTTTTAGCACCATTCACTGCAATACCTACAACAAAATACCTCTTTTTCGCTCTCGATCACTGGAAATAACTCATGTTGATCCTGGCTCAATGAAGACAACAGTACTCGCTTTCTTCTCAAATAAACCGCGCAAACCTTTTACACAAATGTATCGGGTAATTTTATTGGTTCTTTCTGGCCAATGAACAGAGCCTTTAGTTTTCACAAAATTCATGGGGAAACCATGACGTCACAGGTGCCATCTCGTGGTTAGGTTTGATCTGCGTCAGTTTTGCGCAGGGGAGATTATCAATTTTTAGTTCTCAATCAAACATGGTATACTGCACTGCATACAACTGCAACAATGATGGCAAGAAGATGAAGTCGTTGAGTTTTTTCCAGTTTCCTTCTGATGAAAAATACCGCCAGATATGGATAGAGAAAGTCCGTCGCGTCAACTGGGAACCTAACAAGTACTCGAGGTTGTGTTCTGCACATTTCGAACCACACTGTTTCGTACACAACTTCAAACTTTTTGAGTCTCTGGGTCTTCCAAAACCGAAAAAGGCCACTTTGAAGCACGATGCCATTCCTACCATCTTTGATTATGAAGAGAGGACAACAAAACCATCGAACGAGCTAACCTTGTCTCGTAAACGAAAACACGAGAATTCTACGAGTAATACGCCTTGGAAAGGAAGAAAGGTCCTTGAGGTACGAGCATCATATTAATCTGTATAGTTTTTCTTAATTTAATCGCGGAGTAGAACTCAATTTCTTCTCCAAGCTCATGATTGTATCAGTCATGTAAAACCCGCCTCTTTACCTTGCTTCCTTTTTTATTATTTTTTATTTTTTGGATACATAATTGTATCGTTTTATTCAACTCACTTTGTGTGTCTCTTTACAATCATGACTCGTGACGTATGACATATCACTTACAAAGTTTTGTTTATGCAAGGTTTCTCTTTCCTGCAGGATTAGTTGCTAGATAGCTATAACAAAACCATGCTGTTGTACGCACAGATTTAAAATAAAATCGGAATTTTTCCCAAAAAGTTTCCCATAGTAATACAATCATGAACTTTCTTTTTGCCTTGTAGGTGATAGATTTCAACTCGCTTCTGGACGACTATTTAAAGGGCCTTCAGTCTGAAGAAGATTTTAGTTCAGCGAATGAAGCCGGTAACAAAACAGGTAAATGGTGGTATCATGTACTGGGAAAATATCTGTATTCTTTAAAAAAGATCCCGTCTATATATTTACATTTTTTCAGTGGGTTTTGTCTCATCATGTGAGGCACATTTACTTCCGGGGAAAGAGTCTTTCCCTGGGGATTACACCTATGATCTTTACGTTGCCTTCACATGAGCTTCGGAAACACTTCTATCTAAACCTTCAACCTTTCAAAGAGATTGGCTTCTAATTTCTCCAGACAAGATCACCCTTGAATCAACTGTCGAGGTCAAGAGAATAAACTAAATGGTTGCCAACTTAAGAATCTCTTGATTATCCAACAAATTCTCTTTGTCATTACCATAGGAGATATAAAGAGTACAGTGAGGAGATTATGGTTTCTGATGTTAGGGCATAAAGGGTTATGCTTTCATCTAGTTAAAAAAATGTTTGTGCAACTTTGTATATGTTCCCTCTTTCCAAAAGACACCTTTTATATTAAATAAAAACAGTTGTCCGGGTTTTGAATAAAGGCTAAAAGTTTCTAAAGAAACTGTGGTGCTTTGTCAGTGGGGATAACAAGGTAATTGGTTATATCAACTAAGTTGCAATAGTAAATTGACCACCGTAACGAATAAAAAAGCTGACGTTTCGAGCGTTAGCCCTTCGTCATTCGCTCTGACGAAGGGCGAACGCTCGAAATGTCAGCTTTTTTATTTGTTACGGTGGCCATTTCACTATTTCAACGTAATTCATATAACCAATTTCCTGGTTTTGACATTTATATCTCTTAGATTAAGATCTCTGCTATGGCTCTGAATTTCTACCGATGAAATTTTTTGTTACTTTTTCAATATTTTCAAGTCTCTTCTTGACTGAAAATTCATCTTTCTTACAGGATCTGATGAGCTGGTGAAGGAGATAATTCCAGGATCTTCACCATGCAAGGTATCAGTACAGTTGACCAGTTCTTCATGTTGTTGTTCAAGTTTGTATCTGGGTCGAATCCAATCTATTTTGCAATTAAAATCAAAGATAACGAATAAAACTTCTATTATGCTCAAAATCAGAGAAAACAATGTAATACCTGAAAAAAAATATAAAAAAAAGATAAAGGCCAGCTTATGATTTGAAAAAATATTGGCCAACAGATTCTTTGCTATTGTGCACAGCTACATTTTGTCATGTGCAGTATCTCAATTGCAATTCTTTTTCAACTGTGGCTACCTTTCATCCCAAGAAGAGACTGGGATCTTGGTTCTCTAAACAGCATCACTGCTGGATCAAATGTTAAGGTCATGATAACAAAGGAAATGATCACCAACCAAAGAAGGTTGGGATTGTTATACAAAATCTCCTTTTCAGCACCATAGGAAATGTATGAAGAACAGTTTGGAGAATATAAGCCTACATGTAGCTGTAACCCCCACCCCCCTTTACTAAAGAGCCACAAAGGGGGAATGGAAAGGAGGAAATCCCTCCCCTTGGTTCCTCCTCTGGGAGGAGGGCACTGTTGCATGTAGGCTAGGAGAATTTACATACTGATATTAGAATGTAAAGAGTTAATGCAGTGTGTCCTAACGGGTGCTAATGTGGGGTATTTCTTTGATTCTTACACTTCATTTCTAGTCACTCAGGGCTTGAAAGTGTGATTTTTCTCACTCAATTTTAATGTTCTCAGGGTGGCGATAGGTTTGTTCTGCTCCTGAGTAAGCCATTATCTCCAGATATTTGTGATACTTCCAGTTCACTGTTGTGTGTCCGCTTTGGAAGTGAATATGTTGTCCCAGTGACTCTATGGAAAGAGCAGGTTATAAGGGGAGACTCAGTACCAAGTGAGTAAAAATAAAAAATATTCAAGAAAAAATTGTAAAAGAAAAAAAGAAATTGAGTAAGTCTGCATCACCTAGCTGGCTTATCCTTTTTTCTAGAGCATGAAATTTGTACCTAAGACTTGTTGCTTTCCCTTCCATGGAGGATATGCTAGTCCATTGTTAGTTAACCCCTGTGTAAATAGTTATCAGGTTCTCGTGACAGATCGCTTGTATGAAAAATCCATATATTCCTGAGTTTAAGACACTTAAATTGTTTTATCCTCACTCACAATGCAGTGAACTATCTGTAGTTCAAAAAAGGACCTTCTAAAAATTTTGATTTATAACAAGCATAAGCTATGGGCAATCCATGTTCCACAGATCAATTCTGTGTTCTTAAACTGTCCTGTTGGATATATTTTATTGAGATGTGGCTAAATGCTTTTAACTCTGTTGGTAGACATCACATTGAGTTCTTGCAACAATTTTTTTTTTAGGGTAGATTATTTGCACGAAACAGATGTAGTTACAGTGGGTTTACCCTCAAGGTTTCTATTTGCAAATAGCTACCAAGGGGCCATCATTCCTGAGTCAACTCCTAAACATGACAGTGTTCTTAGACTAGTAAGAGCTATTAAAGAAGTGCCAGATAGTGATATTTTTTTTCTCTCTTATATTTGGATTTTTAGAAAGTGACAAACCAGGTGTAGTTGTTGCACAACTGGAAACAACTGATGGCAAGGTCCTGGGGAGCACAAAATTTTTGTACAAGGAGGAAATCTCAACAGGTTTTCAGAAGATTGTCTGCAGTAAAAACTATGGAGGAAAATTAATTAAGGGACTGTCTGATTTTGGAGCAAAAGAAGATCCAGTTACAGTCAATGAGAGTGAGGCAAATCAAGGTAAAGATCTACTTTATCCCATAAGTGATCAAGACAGAATTTCTCCTTACAATATCAATGCAACATCAAGCAGACAAGTGATGAGAATAAAGAAAAGTATCAATTAGTGGATTATTGGTTGATTCAATAGCAGATTCTCGTCCAAAAGGAATGAATCAAAGTTAGCGCTAGAAAGAGCTCCAAAATTGCAAATAATTGACTCTTTTTTTTTTTCTTTCCAGATGTAACATCTTTGCATACTTCTGAATCTAGCCTGGCTCTTGCTGGCATTCTTAAAATGATGCTGTACATAGCAGCCAAGCATGATGCCATTAGTTTTGTTGAGGATCTTTTTAGAACAAAGGCTGGAAAAGCAGTAATGAATTCATTCAGTAAAAAGGATCAGCAGGAAGAAACAGCAAACCAATCAAATTTAGAGCAACAGCTCTTTTCTTACCTTGAAAATGTATCAGGAAGGTAATGATCAGTGTTTCCCTGATGTGAATTTTATCATATTGAGGAGAACTTAAACTGTAAGTGACCTATCCTTTTTATTGGTAGAGAACATTCAAAGAAAATTTTAAACAAATTGTTTGATCACCTTTTTTCTGAGGAATCACCTTTAGTTAATGGTCTATTTTTTTATTTTTTTCCAGGATAACTGAAGAAGAAGAAAAGAGAAATGCAAAGGTGGCTCCCAAAGTTAGCCAGGTTGTGGAGAAGAAACACCCAAAACCTGTTGTAAAACCAGGTGAGGTCCATAAATCTACATTGCAAGCTCATTTAGCAGCTCATTAGTTATCATCAACCCTTCAACTGCCAAGAGTGATACAACTATAGACGTCTAAATTCTCCCAACAGTCTTACCTCTGAATCAAATAGAAAGGTCATGAGAGTAAAGGAAATGATCGCAGGGTCAAAAAAAAAATTCTTGATTGTGAAACAAATTCTCCTTGTTAGTTCTGTCTAATATGTACAGAGAATTGTATGGAGAATATGCATTTTGATGTTAGAGTGTAAAGGGTTAGAATAATGACCTGATACAGTTCAGGATTTCGGTTCAATTGTAATTCCCTTCTTGCAAAACACATTTATGAATCCGTACCCCTTACATTTTTTTTTGCTAATGGGCTATTTGGTTTCCTCAGAGCTCAAGAAAAAGAAAAATCAGAAGGTACTGAAAACGGTTCCTAAGAATCGAGATAAAACAAAGCTAACGTCCAAGAAACCAATAAATGGAAACGGCTTTGTCACGGGAGGGACTGGTAAGGAAAATCGGCACTTTTCTGTGAAATGAAGATTTTTAGTAATTAGATACCATCGCGTTTGTAGATGCAAGACAAAGAATAGATGTTAAAGCAGAAAAATGTAAGGAAATAAGAGGTTTTACGAGGGACATACTGTTTGTTTCAATTTGTTTGACATATAGGGGGGTCTCTTGTATGGGAAGATTTTTCAATGCTATGTCAATAATTACCTTTAATTAAAATCATGTATCTCAGTTAGAACGTTTGCTAAGATCGATGAATTTAGCGGGCCGTATTTCACTGTTTGCTCTGCTAAATTCAAAAGTTTGTTTGAATTGTAAGCATCCCCTCTAATTGAACCCAGAGATATAATGGATATCTTACTAACCCTATTTGCTCGATCCCTACTGTAAGTTATGGAGCCTCGTTTTTTTCCGCTCGGATTTATGGCCTGTGCGCTTCGGGCTTGGGTCTTAAATCCAAGCGGAAAAAAACTTTAATTTGTAAAGCATTTTTGCAGCACTCGAATCAGCATTAGAAATCTGAATTATTTTAATAAAGGAAAAACATACCTTATTAATTTTTGTGGTTACTGCCTCCTATAGCAGGCGAAGCCATATACTGTCGCGATGAGTGAGTGAGTGTAATAATAGAATTCCGATCTTGACCCAATATTACCCACTTATTTTTTGTTTTCAAGTATCTTAGTGGTTCGACATTCGCCCTCGATACACAGTTGAGTTCTTTCCTTTAGTGATTTCTGGCTTATAGCCACTAGCACACTATTTTTTTTTTTTAGATATAGCCTCCAAGACAAATTCACTGTTGTTGTTGTCCAACATTGCACTTGGAGATTTGAACTCAGAATCAATAGAGAATGGCCTCTCCAGCGATTCATCACTGACTTCGCTGCAAGACACATTGTTGTCGGCGTCTTCCAAGAAAAAGAAGCAGCTTTCATATCAGAGCAACAATGCGAAAAAATTCACGAGAAAACTAGTTCTACTTCCAACCAGTTCAACACGTTTACCATCCCAGAATGCCGCTGTGCACAGGGGTTCTATACAGTTGGAAAATCATATGCCTCCGGAAGAAGTTATGAAGGAAGTGCGAACGGTGTTGCACAATCTTGGGAAGAAAAGGTATGAATGAACAGCAAAGGGAATTTATTCACCATGTACTGGAGTAATTAGCGATTGAAGGAGAAGAAAGTACGCCAGGACTGCATTGATTTTACCTCTCCAAGCACTCTGATTGGTCCAGGAAACGCACGCCACCCTTTAAACCGATGAGAATCAAAACTCTAAACATTTAATTCTCAGCTGCTCTCATTTTCAGTTTTCGTTACTTTAGCCAGTTCATAGTTTCTACCAAGATATCTGTCTGGCTCATAACAGCATCAGTGGTGGAAAAGCGTCGTTGTAATCAAGTCGGCATAAGTTTTATTGAACCAGTTGAAAGTGGGTTTTTTTCTTTTTTAAACCGATCACAAGGCATGATGGTTTAGGAGCAAAAAAAATGTAACCTTTTGCACTTCTTTGGATGCTCTGTTGGAAAAACTGCCTTGCGCATTTTATTTTTTAAATTCACCTTCTGGGTTCAAAATTCAAAATTTGATTACTCCCATCCAAAGAAAAAATGCTGTGGTCAACGTTTCTATTTGAGCGCTTTTGGAAAACTCAAGTCACCCTTGATTCTAGATGTCAGCCATTTTTCTTTTCTTTTCTTCAATATTTCTTAGATTTCGTCTGGCAGCCGCTGACTCTTCAGGCAAGTTGGAATTTTTTAGAGGCACCAAGTGGACCGCAAGGACGCTACGACAAAGAATAAGATTTAACTCAGTTTTGTATGTTGTGCCCTCGGTAAGTACGGGTGAATTGATGTAGGAATTTCAATAACATTTTCCATAAGCCACCTCAGATAGTATAGTAGGCGGTTGTGAGACCTGGGCGAAGTCGAGGTCCATAAAAACGCAATAAAGATCGAGGCTAACATCCAGCCATCTTGACCTCACGCTCGGTTAATAACGCATATTTATTGAAACACCTGCATGATAACATGTTATAGTATGTTGCCAACATGCTATATCCTTTATTAGTATATACTAAAACAGTGGATTGCGTTGAAGGCGCGCTCTGATTGGTTAGTCAAACTCCGAATATCCTTTGCTATTTACCTCCGAGCAACTCGGGAAAAAATGGCGTCCCAGTTTGCATCCGTGGCAAGCGAAGAAATCACTCAAATTAACGACAGTGGTGTATATTATCTCACTGTTTTAGTTTATACTAAAACAGCTATTCACCTCCACTTCGGTTAATAGTTCTTACTTAGTCCACAGGTAACTTAGTAGTTCTAGTCTCTATATACAACGAAGCGTTTCACATGAAAACCCTTTCAGTAAAGGCGGAAGTTGTACTCGATTAGCGTCCCAATCGCCCTCGGTGCCCCAGGGGGAACTGGGACGAGAAGACGCTTATAATTTTAGACTCTTTCGTTGAAGAGAAATGATAATGATGTTACTGGTTTTTTTCTTTCTCAGAGGTAAAGAGAGCGATCAGACAGACCCGCGGAAGATTGCAGAGGGCTTCAGATAGCTTGGTGCTCTTCAATTCTAATGAACCGGCACTGAGTTCTCGTTGGGATACTTCGTTATCTAGGTGTTTTTACAATCGTAAAATCTTAAGAAAACGTAACATTTACTTTTTTATGAAGAAGTTGAATTCTTAGTGGTCGTCAACTATTTGAGCTGCGTTGTGAATAGACTAGAAAGGCTGTGCGTCCATCAGAAGTACCTGGTAGTTAATAAAACTCGTATTTTTCCAGAATTTGTTGATTATTTTCCGGTCGAGTGGTACAGATGACAGGTGTTGTGTGGTTTGCAAATGCGGCTTTACTTTTCGGGCAATCGCTCTTTCCGAGTTTGAAATTGTCCCTGTTTTGCACACAGGAAGATCTGGTCTGGTTGAGTTTTACTGAAAATAGTGACAGTGTGAAATGACCTTGGTAGAAAAAGCTGGAAAGGGTTCTCACGATCACTTGTTTGACCGTTCATGAACTAGAGACTTGTATGTTCACTACCACTGAGAACGAGGCAACCTCACTCCCAGGTTTGACGATTGATTTACGCGCGCGAAAAAATGACATCACAAGTGAAATTTGATGTCAAATTAGACTTGGCCCGATGCAAGAACAGTTGTTTTGCAGGTTGAACTTTTTATAAATTAGTTCTTGAGTGAGAAATCGTGTAGTTACCCAGAAAATAGGTGTATTTAAGGACTTTTCACGAAGGTGAGTCATACGAGGTAAGGAACATTCGGAAAAACTTGTTGTGAGCGAGAACTGGAATAGAAGTGCAAGCGTTAAAACTTGCAAGTACATTTCAGAACGATGGTTAGCCGCTGTACGTTTGGTTTGATCGCGTTATGGACCATTTTCATTTTGGCTATAAGCTTTATCTAAAGCATTTTTTCAGGTGTAGAGTGGCGAGAAAGGGTTATAGCCGCTCACACCACGAAAAACTTTATTCTTCAAACAACACTAGCAACGAAAACACGAGCGATGATGAAGCCGCGGCCGCGGCCCGGGAAGATTAGTTTAACTCTCCAACCCTTTTGTCTATTAACGCCGAAAACATGATAAAGCTAAGATGCGAAGTTGCAAAGTCTCGGATTTGCTACATTTTCGATATTAGTGATCTGTTAAACGCTTTTTTCGTTGTTAAAAGAATATGGAAAATGGTGAATGTTAAGATCGTGTATGGGACAACGAGAAAATTCTGAGTACGAGAGCGCGAAATTTTTTCCTTTATCTTCGCTAAGACGAAAAAACCCTTGTTTTTGTTTTTTGTTTGTCTTTTTTTTTCTGTGTGCATGTTGTTTTTGTTGTTGTTTTGAGCTTGGAATTTTTTCGTCACGCTGACCAGTAAGCCTCAGACTAGTAAACTTCGACTTCATGTGCTCGATCCAGTTCTTCTGTTTCGCGTTCGAAAACAGGGATAGGACGTGTGTGCATGCTCTGCGCGTGCATTTTTTGAGTGAATAACATCACTGCGAGATTGTTACGTCATATTCGACTTTGCTAGGCGAAGATCGGTTGTTTATGCAGTTTTGAAAATCAGTTGTTCGGTAACAAATCGGCGTTCTTTTAAAACTTGTGCAGCCAGGAATCAAACCTTCCAAGGTAAGGGAACAAACGCAAAATTTGGCGGTGCAAGAATAAAAAAGGAAAAACAAAACACAGTCTGAATTCTGATCTTTTGAATAGGCAAGTCATGTTTCAAGACTCTGAACTTGACACAGGGGAGCTTAAGCAGAAATGTTTTTGAGACGCAGATAGCTGACGAAAATTAAAAGTTTTTCATTCTTGATATGCTCACCACACCTCTTTATTCAGCAAAGTTTGGTTTAAAATGCTAAAGCAACGACCGCACTATCGAATCATTGGCGTCAAGGTATACCAGAATCAGTTTTATTCTTTTTCCGGTTGCCGTCCTCGTTTCAAGAGTCGTCTCTGCCTAAGTTCTCTGTTATAAAAGTCACGCGGGCGCAGAAAGAATTGTAGGCCTGGGCCTATGGGCTACTGTCCTGTAAGCTGACTACGCCCCCAGCTTGCTTTTTGTTCGCAGACTTTTCGTTTAGTAGTGTCAATTTACAGCCAGTTGTTGTAAATGATAAAATACATTTATAACATCTTCGCTGACGGAGTTTGAACTTAAGCCTGTTTATCGAAAATGATTTTTCTCTTCGATGATAATTGACTTTTGTTAAACTCTTGTTTCAGAGAATGAATGCGCATAATCCCAACGTGATCATATTTACGAAACAACAAATGGACAGCGTATTGAGAGAGAATGCGTGGCTAAAACACGACAATGCTATGCAGAGAGCTGTCAACGCTGGATTGCGGGAGAGAATTTTAAAATGGGAATTGTACGCGAAGCTCTTAAAACGAGAGCTGGAGAAAAAAGATGAAGAGATAAAGAAGGTAAGAAGCAATTGGCTAAGAAGATTAAAGAATGCGAAGATTTAAACGAGGAACATTCTGCTCCGAGTGTGAGTTTTGAATGCTTATCAGCCCTTGTGAGAAAAACGTTTAAGCCATTAAAGAGCATGAACGGAGATCTTGGTAATTAATTGAATAGTCCCTCAGTGATGAAGGCCCAGTCCTTTTTATTATTTTAAGTTTTTAGTATGGTACAAGGTACAAAGTACTAGGCAAGAGGTTATCAACTATCAACTGTTTATGGTCTCTTGATACAGAGCGAATAAACAATAGGACGCGGGATCCCCTTCGGGATCTACCACAGACCCAACCCCAATAGAGTTTTTGCACAGCAACCATGTTGGATGGCAGGAACAATAGATTATCTTACCCCTGGGAAAAATTTTTCTTTCTTATGCAAAATATTTTCATTGTTTCTGCCATCCAACATGGCTGCTGTGCAAAACCTCTATAGATAAAGAGTGTAAGTTTCTAAAGAAACTTGAAAGTCAGATCATTATAAAACTTCTTACAATCCTAAACCGACTTAGTACTCCTAACAAAAACTAGGTATAGACAATCAACTATATGTAAAGTGATAAAATTACGATTAGATGACGTAATGTTATGAAAACTTTTGAAACTGATGAAAAGCGTAACATGATCACTGAACAACATATTTACCTCCACGACACTTACGAGAGATAATTTTAGAAGACCTTAAGTTGTCTTGGTCAAAACCTAGGATCAGACGGTTTCCTCCCCCGAGGGCAGCCCACCAAGTGGTTTGGAAATTAATGGTGCGATGCAAATGGCTACAGCACCGAGGAGAAGATCTGTCGTCCGTTTTTCGGCGGTCCCTGTTCCAGTGATTGAGAGAGCATTCCCAGAGCTTCGAGGGGACAACCCACTCACCTCAGGTCTTCGGCCATTTCCTCTTTTTTCACTATCATTGCTGCACATCACCTTGGATGCCCCTTCCAGGAGAGCAGCTGAAGGTGCCTTCATCTCTTTTGAATCGTCCTTTACTCCCCGAAAGAGACAGGACGTTATCGGGCTTTTATGCCTTCCATCACCTCCAAGTGTGCTACCCGTGAATTCCTCTGAGGCCACCTCTTCTACACTTCAGGAAGACAGCGAAACAGAAAAATCCAGAGTGTCAGCTATTCCCCCTTCACCACTCAAGCTACAGTCACCGTCTTCGGAGCGACACGAAGACATGTCATATCAGCCACCACCCCCCACAGGCGTACAATTTGTTGACAACATCATTAACTCATCAGAGACCTCCCATCCGTCTTCCTCCCTTTCCATGCCGCAAGTTGACGTTTCGATTGATGATGAGGAAGACGCGGAAGAAGGTGACAGTGGAATCACGGAAGGCAGCGAATACAGCACGAAAAAAGTAAGAATGATGGGGAGTATAACTCATATTTTTGTTACTCAGCGAGATGGGTGCCACATTTTTATGCTTTTGCGTTTTTTGGGGGTGAGCGGAGGCAAACGCGAGACGAGGGCGAGAAGCAAGACAAGGGTGAGAGGACGGATGTTGAAGAAAAAAGAAATGAAGCTTTTTTTGTGCTTCTTTCCTCTCATGTGTTTCTTGCTCTCCACGCTTGCCTCGTGCTGGCCATTACTCGCATTGAAAAAGGAACGAAATGACTCCTGTTCTGCGGGTTTATTGGCGGAACTGGGGGATTGGGCCTAGAAGACCACCTCCCCCCACCCTTCACCAGCCCATCAGACCTGTGGGTTTTATCACCGAAATTATTGAAAAGGGAAGATTACATGTTATTACTCAACACGAAGTATCTAAAATAGTATTTAAAATGGAGAATTCTTGTTTGTTTGTTTTTTTTTTTAATCCAAGCTTGGAACTTCACTCTCCGTCTTGAATTGCCCTCCAAGATGTTAATGAGCGTTGCTATTTTCATAACGGGCTCTATATAATGACATAAGCGGCCTCGATTAGACCCTCATAGATTGTGCTAGCAAACGGAGCACATTATACTACCAGCATTACTCGAGTTTTTTTCCAAATTATGCTGAAATCAAAATTTAGCCATTTCCGCTATAAATATGCCAACTTCGTTCCCAGGGCCTTTTCCCTTAGCTGGGGAAGGGGCGGGAAAAGGCCCGCCCCACCCCCAGCTCCACCCCCAACTAAGGGAAAATGCCCTGGGAACGAGGTTGGAAGTATGCTAATTAAAAGAAGACAAATCGCTGTTCTTGTCAATAAAGCATGGTGTCCTCTTTATCCTGAGTTACATATTTGCCACGATGAAACAAAATTAACCACTGCACTTAATTCCAGACTAGAAGCAGTGACTAAACGTGTCAAAATGTACCATGTTCGCATTTTGTGAAAGCGAGAACTGGGACCGATGCAATCTCTACTTCGGCAGAGCCCAGTCCTCAACATGACAAACGACGCAGTACATTTTTTCCCTTAAAATGAAATGAAATTATAGACTGAGCGATGAACCGAATTTGATAGTAATCAATCTTAGAGACCAAACAGGTCTCATCTCTGGTAATTTCCTCGTCAACAAAGCTTAAAATATGCTCGTTTTTCCAAATCATGCCAAAATTATGCTGCTCTTTCCAAATTATGCCAAAAATTATACTAGCACAATCTAGAAGGGCCAAAGGGCCTGGCCTCAACCTTGTTCCC